CTATGGAAAACGAGAAATCCTATTTGCCTGTGCAATAAAATTGTACATTGCAGCAGAGAAAGCCATGATACGTGCGTTATCGCACGTGTTCGACACAATCGTGTGCAGATTACGTCGCAGGCAATTAAAAGCGGAAGCTACAGCTGTCGTAAACAAATTTCAGCTAAATCAGAGCGTTATATATTGCAAAGAAAGACGAAACCACCCGGGCTTGACCCAGAATACGCTGACCGTAAAACGCAGCTTGTTACACAATGTACGACTTGGAAAATAAATGAAATTGCAACGTCAGTCGAACGAGGCATAAGCTTTGCGTGCATTATTGGAAATGTAATAATAATAGATTGCTCTGCGATAAGTACATCTGGGCATTTTTATTTCTGTTAATTGATATATGAAACAGTAAATATATATATATTGAGAATGCCATTACTATAAAAATAGAAAAAATTAATTATTTCAATTATAATTATTTTTTTATAATTTGAGCAATTAACAATACGAAGGCAAGAAACTAATTTTCTATTCTACCACCTGGCGTACACATATAATACATTTTCTCGCATCAAATACGCGCTACACGTATAATGAGTTATACAAGCCCAGTCGTAGTTTGTCTAGTTTGTGATTGACGTCAGACTGTATTTAAAGTTCTATAGAGTCGACGTAGAGGCAGACCAGTCACGCGATATTCGTCGTGGATTTTCCTGACTCACACGAGCAGTGAGGGATCGTGGATCCCATTACATCCTCGTCTCGCTTCTTTCCGCGTCCGATTTCGTGTATTCTTCGTCGTTACTCAACATTTCCAGTCAAAATTTTTTAATGTGAGTTAGCATGTCACGAAGCAGTCTGTTCAGAATCTTTAATCATATCAGAATCGTAAGAATGGAAAACTTGTGCGTGCGTATGACATCTCGATAATAAATGACAAAAATGACAAAAATATAATATATAACAGTAATAAATTAACGTGGAACCGTAATAAAAAATCATACTAAATAAATCAAATAAGAAAAGTTAGATATTTAGTTTATTATTTGCCAACATTAATTACATATGCATAATATATTTAATAATAATTCCAAACATGTGACATGTGGCATACAGTTGCAATTATTTGAATAAAGTTTAAAGGAACTTTTGCTTTAAAAGAGTGATTTAATTTTTTAAAAATAACTTGGACACTATTTGTCTAATTTTTCAAACAATGTGTAATTTATCTCTCTCGAAGCAGAATGCATTTATATGCGCTCTGAGAAGATGCAGACGGAGTCGGTGGTTGGTGAACTTCGTCAGTCTGGTTTATAATTGGCGTCAGACCGTATTTACCGTTTTATACTCGGGATTACGCGCGAGGCCACGTGATAATTTTGAATTTCGGCGTCGCGACGCGACGCGTTGCGGCACGTTACGATACAGCGCTAGTGCGAATGCACGCGCCAAAAGCATTTGCATAATTCTATGTTTTATCACACGGAAGCTTTGAACATTTGCAATTAGAATGCGATGTAATATCGATTAGTACGTAATATCGCATTTTTAATATGTGACTATTTGTACTTGTCTCATTACGCTAATATCAATATTAACATTTGCATAAATATATTACCAAATACTGGCGTATTTGAGATATATTTTGATCTTTAATTTTGGAATTTTTATTGTTTATTTTATTTTTTATTAGACGGAAAGATTTTTTGACATAAAATATAAACACAATTGTGCAGCTGAAATGCAGGACTGTGACAAACACGTGTAGCAACCGTCTGATCACGATCCTTGAACCGCTGGCAGAAATAAGTGCAAACGTGTAGGCACGTGCTTAATAATAGCACAAGCTAATACGCGATGCTAATGCAGATCATCCGGTTATATTTTTGCGACTATCTTCTTCCATTTGTTGATTTTGTTAACGATATTTATTAGCTTGTAAAACAAGTTTTTAGCAACAACAAATAATGATTCTAAACCTAAATAAATTCGGGCGCAAAATTGCACGCACAAAGAAAAACGAATATTCACAACATCATCACGTTATGAAAACATAACAGTTTGTTAGAGTTATAATGAAAAATTTCTGAAAATAAGAAAAGTATGCATATATTCTCCTTTCTCTTTCTCATTATTCTTTATTATATATATCCCGCTTTCGATGCATCTAATAAAAGAGCTCTCAGAATAAAACGGCCTCATCGTTCAATTAAATCTGGAAAAAGTCTCGAAGGAAAAGAGCCTCGAGGACGTTTGTCCTCGAAATGTTGCGGTATCTCGTAAACTTTCAGAATAATTCTTCGTCAAAAGATTCTTCGTCGCGAATGCCATGAAAGGCCGCTAATTATTCGTTTCGTCTATTCAGCCGGATTTCATAATTTCATTAAATGGTACACATCACTCTGCTGAACTCCTCCGAGAAAATTCGTAGACTATTAATGTCCTGCAAGATTCATCTAGGTCTCTCACCATTCGCAATTTCTTTACCGGGAATTCCCAACCGGCTTCCCTTTCATCAAACTCTCGGATGAATAATTAACTCGACTTAGCGACAAAAACTAGGAATAAAGAGAAAATCTTTAAAATAAAATAATTTTTTTTTTTTAGAGTAACAAATTAACTAGTATTTATTAATAGGGATCCACAAATTTGTTTATTTTAATCCCTTTGCTACACAAATAAAATTGAACCAGATATTGCAAAATATATAACATAATATTAAAAAAAGGTCCAAGAATGTAGATTTACTTTAAAAATAGTGTTAGAAAAATAGACTTTAGAAAACGTATATTATTTGCAAATAATCATTATTATACTTAATATTGCAAGCGCTTTCGATACTATCGGTAATAATTATCTCACTATTGTCGAAAGTATCGTATTGATATCAAAAATGCTCTCTGCAATCAAATGTTGGTTCTTCGTTGCTACTCTGGTATCGCAACATCTCTAGATGTGCATCGATCCGGGAGACACCGACACGTTTTTGGCAAGCTATGCTGGTATTTATAGATAGATACGCGAAATATCTCCAAGCCAGATATATGTAGGCTCATATTTTCAAGGTGCAAAGAGATGTGTACTTTGCTACAAATTTCAAAGATATTGTTTTAGTATACGTATTCGCATATGCATATTTACAACTTTTTTTATAATTATAAATGATAAAATAATATTATATCTGTACATTCTCAGACAAATTGTATGAAATATAATTTGTCAATATGTGATGACTGGTTTATCTGTAAAATCTTACAAGTTATTTATTTATTTATTTATAAGATTGTCAATTTGACCAAAAATTGCCGTCAAAAGAACATTCTATAATTCCGGGACACCATCTATACGTTAATACATATGCATAAGCATCGCTGCACCACCCATTGCACGTGTTACCGCGACCTCGTAGTATGCAAATCACAGCTACACGTGCACGCGGACACCAAAACGAAGTTGGATGATGGCTTTTATTCACTGAAGAAAAAGTGACGGGATCAAAAGCTTCGCTTGAGAGATCTATCGATATATCGAGTTAAAGAATGAATCGGTATGCAAATGTTCGTAACAAAAGCAGAGTATTCTGCCGTATATAAAATATTATTGAAGTGATCCAAGATCTTTCTCGGATATAATATACGGGACTTGGATAGTTTATTGTTAATGAAAAAAAAGCACAGTCTCTAGATTATATATATATATATATATATAAAAGCAAAAGGCGCTGGATTCGATTCTTGGTCCAGTCACCCGATATTCTTCTCGCTTATCTACAGAAAAAAATTTGCAATTCCACATCACAAAACTTTTGTTATAAATAATCACTGCAACTAATGCAAAAGTTAATGTTGTGAAAGTCTACGAAAACTATGAGCACACTCATAAAATATCTCGCTTGAAAAGAATATAACAAAACTATCTTTTCAATGCTATCTTCACATCTTATTTTAGTTTGCACTCTCAGCAACCTTATCTATTCAAAAAACGCTCTATTTCTACTATGTGAATAAAGCTGTGGATCATGGCGAAGCCATTAATGATTAATTATGAGAAAGTGCTACAGCGCTACCTATTGATCTCGGTCTGTGCTTTGTATTTCACGTAAAAATCAAGATAAATAACTACAAATAAATAAAAAATTATTTTCTTGTTTGAGAAAACGCGGAAGAAAAATACTTTCTTCTCAAATGTGGCAATGATACGTGTTTAGATAAAACAATCGAATACGGAAGAGTGGAAGAATTATCAATAAATTTATAAGGAATATTTTAATAAATATTTGCTCTGTTTATATGCCACGTTAGAAAACTCAAATCTCGAAATGTAAAATCACAAAAAATGTCGAGATATTAATAATTTAAAAATTGCAATGTACGTTTGCTGCGAACTCCTCGATGAAGGTCTCGCGAAATTACCACTCTCATAGTAAATAGGTAAATTTATTTGTATTGAAATATGTACGTGCTACTGCGGCAGTTAATTAATCAATCAGCGCAGGGCTAATTAATGCGCAATAGAAGAGACAGAATTTGGACAAGCGCAAAATGTCCATTTGTTCAAGACTTACGTTCAATTACGATGAATCCGGGAAGAGAACCAGCGCGTGACACATGCATGAAGAGACACGTAGAAATCAGTTTTTCATCAAGAACAACGTTGTCAACGTTCTCATCGTGAAAAAGGTGTCGATTTAATCATATAATTAAACGCGATTAATGGTAATAGCGTCGTCAATCTCACGTCACGCTCCTGTTTGTTTCAATCGATGTTCTGATTTTTCCTTTTTCCATTATTTTTCTCAAATTTCATATTTCTATCAAATTTTGATAATATGTCGTAACTCGTGCTTGCTATTATTATTAATGAAATTTTATACTAAAAGTTCGTATTACGAAAAATTTGGTTCGGAGAAAGACCTGAACGGAGAAAGAATGCAAGCAAGTGACGGCGCTATCGAGATCGAGTACCGAAAAGTCAAGAAATTCTGGATTGAAAAATGTAGTACTCACCTCCTTGCAGCATTGGGTCGTTCAATTCAACGTAGAAAAGTGCATCTTTCTCGTAAGAATCTTCCTCGATTATTTCCAGGTTAAGGAATTTCCTGAAATAATCACAAGATGTTTTAAAACAATTATTACGGAAATAACATGTGAGAATGACGATTCTACGAGAACATTATTTGCAATAAATATTTTGTTTGATACACATCGTAAATGGTAATTAATATAAATTCACGTGAAATTCAATATTCGCTTAAGCATCATCGAGAGCGACACGGTCGTGTCTTGTGCCATTTATATGCACAGCGAGGTCGATCGTCTGTATGCGAAAGGTAGGGAGTTGAAGTGGCCCGAGACGCGTTGTTTTATTGACACGCCAATAGTGAAATAGAGGGACGGATTTTGGTTAGATTAAGCGACGATTTACGCGAAAGGTGGGGCGCTGCCCAACTGTGGAATCGGCGCGTCGATTTCTTGATAACGTCCGTAGTGGGGCAGAAGGAGGTTTTGTTTAGATTAAACGACAGTCCTTCCGAAAGGATAATGGGGCACTGTAGCTCGAGTGGTCAGAGATGCGTCGTTTTCTCCACAAATAGTGGGATAGAAGGAGGAAGTCCTCTTAAGACTAGGCGATGAAAGGATAATGGGACGTCTTTAATTCGCAGAGAGAGAAAAATATTTGGACAAGCGCGTCTGTTTTTATCTTCTTATAATTCAATCGAACCATTAGCTTGAAATCTTTTTGCACATATTTGGTATCAAATTCTATTTCCAGCACCGGAAATTAAACTTCTCAAAATTCTCGGCTTGTATCCTCGTTATGCAGTGATCGATTCATTAGAGGTGATAAGGTGTCGGTTAAACGCGAACTGTGTCGTACTGTTTCGAACTACATGGTAGGACGACGTCGCGGAAATCGATTTATTACTTTGGGTAATTAAGTATCGGATAACTGTGAAACTTGTAGGCGTACATTAGCGTCAAAAGCCATAATTGAGGACTTCTTCCGGGAAGCGTGCTATTTTCTAGGATATTGTAGTGCACTTTCAATAGAATAGTCATCAATTTGCATGAAAAACCGAAAATCTTTTTGATATGCAAAATACTTTCATTTAAATAAATTTAATTAAAATTTGTTTTGGAGCAAAGAATAATATACAAGCTTAATGAATTTTTACTTTTATCGACGTACTGACGTAATTTTAACCACTTTTCTGTCAGATTACGGGACGTACTGCTTGAGTATATTCGGCCAAATCAGAGAAGTGTTAATAAAATGTTATCTTTATTCCTGTTAATAGAAACAAACGCCCCTATCACTTTTTCTCTTTTTCACATGAAACGTTTTCACATTGTTGATTATAATATAAAAGTTCCTTTTATATTCTTCCACCCACAAGCAGTGTGCAATTCTTTCAGAAAAAAATTTGTTAGTGGCAACAGAGGTTCCGAAAAGCTTTTAAATCGTTTGTCACGCGCTTCAACTTTTCACAACTTGACTCGCAAAAGCTTAAAGACTCAAAAGCTTTTCACATCCACCTCCGGCTAGTTATCATGCTTCATATCGTCGCATTGCTGCAGAAGAATTTCCTATATGCAGAAAACGAAATTTTTTTGGAAGAAATAAAAACTTTTAAATACTATTAACCTCGCATAAAAGATAATATTTTTTAACAAACAGCAAATTTAATTTTTGACCCAATGGAGATTTTATGTGTAGAGATTTAATTTCACTTAACTTTCCGATTGTAATTTCTAAAATTTTAGTTTCACCAAAAATAAAAGGAAATGTTTTACTAGTAACAACAATATATCCATCTATACATAAATTTCTTGTTTTAATTTTTGCACATGAATAACAAATTTTTTAATTAGTCTGCAGATATTGCAACTCGAAAACTTAATGTTTATTTTGGATTTATTTTTAACTATAAAAATATTATTAGCTCAATTATTATAAAATGTCGCAAGAAGAAACGTAATAGCGAGAATTTACAATGAGCACTTTTATCTTTTGCAATATAACTTGCTTTAGTAGTTTCTGTGATGAAAAAAAAAAAAGAATGAGTCTTGTGACACCGTAATGGTTCGGCTATTTCTCGTTTTATGCGTTTTCCCGGTACGACATCGATCCTATCGACCCCACAGCAGTTTAACCTTTTGATGTTTTACAATAAGCAAGATCCGACAATAGGTATTATTCGCAGCTGAATAGAACCCGTGGAAATTCCAATATTTTGGTCAAGAAATTTAACAATTAATTTTTTGGGGAGAAAAATTATAATAATTATTACAATAAAAATGTATGATAAATTATCATATATACATATAATGGATTATAAAGATTTGTAATTTATTATACCAATAAAATAAAAGGATAAACTTTTTAAAATTATTTTATAATACTAAAATTATATCAAGATATGAATGGAATAATATTTATTATTAGAGCAATTTTTTTGTAATAGCTCTATTTTCAGAAAATTGAAACGTTTATGTATTATTTTTTACTTCAAATATACACACTAGGAGCTATAAGAAATGCTTGCAGAGCCACTACACTTTGTGCATGGGTAACATGTGCGAAACAACTTGAAAATGTCAAACATATGTCGTAGGCACACATCGATAGGTCGCGCCGTTTTATGTATAGGGTGACAGAGAATAAAGTGTGAAAGAGAAATACTGGCGTTACGTCGACATTTAAACTTTACGTCCGGATGACGTTTCTTCAAGTTTTATTTTTTCTACAATAGTCGTACATTTTTCATGCTTGGTTTTGAAACAAAGTCAGAAAATTAAAAAGCTTTTTTTTTTAATTGAGAACTTGCATTAAAAATAATTTCTGTCAGCTCTAAAAGTAATCAATTTATTTTCAGAAATTTTTATGAAAAATTCTGTAAAGAATTGCACACGTGAAAAATTTATCGAGCAATCGATTGCACAATATATGTTGTGGTTTTGTAATATGCAGTTATGTAGTAATGCGAAACTGTACAAATGCAGTAAAACGAAAGCTCATTAAAGCGGAGAAACTTTATTTACTGACGTTATAATTAAACCAGCTAATGCTTGTTATCTTGACAGCGAAGCGCTATTACACGCGAGACTTAATCCGTGTTCATTCATATGCAGTTATTTTTTCCGCTTTACTTCAATCTATTTCGATTTTTAATATTGATGATGTATTCATAATATTTTCCATATTTTTATTCTTCGTATTTTCAACCACGAATTTCGCGAGTATTTATTCGTCTCATTTCGACGATACAGCTCTGAAATTAACTGCTCTGTGAAATCGCATCGTTACATCCGATGTAGATGAAGCACATCGATTATTCTTGCTAGGCGAAATAACGATCGCGATTTATTAATCCGCAAATCAGAGCGACATCGAGTTTGCACGTAATTGCGAATTATCCGGTTACAATTGACGACGAGGAGTAACTTTAATGGGCCGAGATATCGCCTAACGCGATTAACCGACCCTTTGTGCTGACGAAGGTCTTAAGATCTTAAGGTAAATTGTATTACGTCACGTGGTTTGGTTGCGAATTGACGAAATGAGTTCTTTCACCCTAATGAACCTGTGTTTGAAGAAAAACTTATATCAAGACTTAAATCTACTTCTTAAAGTTTTAAAGTCACTGAAGCACAATTTTGAAAGTTAGCCAAACATTTCGAGCGAAATATTCCTTATTTTTATTTTTAGAAGTAAAACTAATCGAACATCTGATTAAATAACGTTCGAATAATTTTACTGTACCTCATTTAGCTTTCATGCATATTTTATATGATCTTTAATTTTACTACTACTTTTATTTCTATTTCCGTCTTTGATTTTTATTAGCGTTATAGGTATACGTTTTTATTCAATTTCTATTAATTGAATTTGTTTTATGTAACAGACATGCCAATATATTCGCATTTCTTATGTCCACTTCTTTGTTAGACTTATTCCAACTTAATATTCTCGAAGGATTATTCCAGATGTAACTAGTTCCTATTTCGTCCATTCTACTTTATTGCTTTTTTATTCGTCTTCACAATTGCACCCTCAATATGTATATAGATTAAATGCTTCTGGAATACATAAATTTTACTATTTGCCGAATGAATTTTGGAATTAATAGGACTTAATAGGATGTTCTCCAAAATTGCAATTGCAATTCCGAGTTTTATGTGGCTAAAAGTCATTAAGATTTGCTATGTTTAATATGTCAAGAACATATTACATTCCAAAGATTATCCTAGGGTCACTTCAGGATACCATAAATGTTCGGAGATAATCTGACTTTCTTACTTCGATCTCAGAGATAACTCATTCGTTATTCTAGATGTGCTCTATGTGGGTGAAAAAGCAAACATTTCGTGGTCACCATTCAAGCGCACGAAATAAAGTATCGCCCACTTGTTCTCGCATGAGATGCGAATTGGAGAAGTTATTGGGCAAAAGAAAAATAAAAAGGGTCTTCATTCTCGAAAAGAGAAAAAGATTAAATACAACATCAGTGGTAGATGTAAAAAATACACCTTAATCGTAAAAAAAACTATATTAGCTGGAGAAAGTTGTCCTCAATTTTAATCATTTTTATATATATGATAATGTAGATTTTTATATTAATTATGATAAATTTGGATTCTCTTTCTCAATGCCGTAAGAATGCTCGCAATATCCTCAACAATGTTCGAGGGGAGCGAAGGAAAAGCGACGCCTTTCTCCGTCAAGGCCGACGTCGATGCCGACACCGTCGCTGTGGGTTCGACCTGATTGCCCTACGTGAACTAAAGTAGTATCGTAACAAGCATAACAGCCAGAGCGATCTCGTAGGTGATACGCTGCAAGAGTTGCCAGCACGCAGCCCTAGGTGCCCAAGAAACATTTTCAAAACCTTACAATTATTTAATTGTTTAAAAAAAAAACTTTTATCAAACGCGATATATCGCAACAGAATATTCTGTTTCGCTGACAATTCTTATTAATGTTTTTCTGCATTTTCCGTAATAAATTTTCAAATATCGAAATTTTATTCGGATATCACCCTGCAACGTAGTTCTGCTATTACGAAACACACGTAAACAAAAGCTTATTAAAACTGAT